AGGCGGAGCGGCCCGGCGTCGTGCGGGAGCTGTGCGCGCGGCCCGGACAGGTCGTCGCCCCGGGGTGAGCGGCTGCGGCTGGAAGCGCCGGGGCGGGGCGGGCACATACACGCACGGGGACGGGCGGAGGGGTAGACGCACAAGGATGAGCAGGGTCGGTTAGGCAGGCAGACAGACTTGTGCTCTTTTCATTTTACCATTGAGCCACTCTATGAGAACAGGAACAGATGGATAGGCACAGAGGCACGCAAGGGTGGGTGGGCAAACAGATAGGCACAGGTGAATAGGCAGGTGGGCAGATGGCCGCCAGGACCCACTCCACTTGGTGGCAGAGCGACTGGAGCCCCGTGGTGGCAGGTTGTGCCTTGCATCCCCCCTCACTGGGGTGGCTTGGCCTGGCCCCACGTGCTGCGCTTAGTGGGTGATGCCTGTGGGGGAGGTCAGCGAGATGTTTTGGGGCAGGCAAGGGTGAGCGGCAGGAGTGGAGCTGGAGTGATTTCCCTGGCCTGGGATGGAGCACTTGGGGCTGGCGCGTCATCTGCAGAGCAGCGCGCTCTGCTTTCTCACACTGTAGAAGAGCCGAAACAGACTTGCACATGGCTTGTTCTTGGCCCCTGATGTAAGGGTCTGGGAGCTGCCACAGCGTGTCCACGCTGTTGGCTTGGAGTCTGTCTTCAGGCAGCTTGTTCAGTTTTGTTTGTAATTTGTGCCCTAGAAGAGCAGCAGGGATCAAACAACAAAAGTCTCCAGCTTCTCATTCTACCCTGTGGTCAGACTCATACTGATTGCAGGGGGTTTTGCCTTCCTCTCTAGTGGGGGCATGGCCCTCGACCCAGGATTTCTTGAGCATGTATTGACAGCATTTCACAGAAGCAGGATGTGAGATGCCGTGGTCCCCTGCTTTACCTGTGGCAGGTTAGGGTGTCAGGTCTGTGTTGTCAGGGTTGACAGTGGTTTTACGAAGCATTTAGATTATGGATTGCGCAGGATAGTTTAGGTAGGAATGACCTTGCCTCAGGAAGGGGGTTGGAGTAGATGACCTTTGGAGGTCCCTTCCAACCTTGCTGCTTCTTGATTCTTGTTTAGCTTAATACAGTAAAAGCTGCCTTAACTGGCATCTTGCAATCCAGCATGCCGGCTTGTAAGGTAAAAGCGAAACTGGAAGTGCCCACCATTGCACTTTTCATTTCACCGAGCCCCCATGGCCCAGGGTAAAGCAGCCTGCGCTGCTGAGCCCCCACAGCCTGGGGCATAGCAGGCTGCGCGGGGGCTGCCTCTCTGTCCTGCAGGAGGGGTGGCGACACCCTGGACATGGCAGGAGAAGCAGCAGCCTAAACAGGCAAATGCTGGGCCTCTCAATTAACCGTCATATTTTGTTATCCGGCACTCCCCATTCCCCATGGGTGCTAGATAACAAAGCTCTTGCTGTATAATGTTGGATTTTCACTTGACAGCCAGGTCTTTAATGGCATGATGACACGACTTATTGGGACTCGTGTTTACTACAACGTTGTTACCATGAACACTACAATATTTTAATGTACAGGGTGTGGCTTATAAGTACCTGGGGTGTGACCAGTTCTCTGTATTTGAGAGAGCAAGTGTGTGGGGTAATTTTGGGGGTTATTTTGTTTTTACTCTTTAGTCTTTGTTACTGAATCTGAAACTGCTTTGTTTCAGTAACCTTGCATACAAGCTTCTCCTGAGTGACTTGTTTGCTATCCTTTTTTTTTTTTTTTTTTTTTTTTTTTTTTAAGAACTTAAAAGTAGTTTCAACTTTTGAATGGGATCTTTCAGCCCTGTGTGTTGTTCATCTAATGACTTTCCTACCCTTCACTTCAAGCAGATCTTCTCAACAGGAAACCATTGAAAACTTCTACTTCCTTTGTTTTATGGTGGCAAGTTATTTTCTTTTAGTGCAGTTCTTTTGAGACAGATGGATGTATCAAGGCCTGAGTTTGTCTTAATGAAAGACAGTGGTATTTGTAGAAAACCTGTGTAACTAGATATTTTTTAAGCTCCAAGAAGTATGTGTCAAAACATGTAAGCAAGCTGAACCTTTGATGTAAATAGTAATAGGAAATGCATGTATAAAAGCAGTGAAGTGTGCTCCTGGTTCTTGAAAGCATACTCTTAGTCTTTTTTTAATGATTGTGCAAGAGAGAAAGTATGGGCTTTTACAAGTGTTGTTTTAGCACAAGGCAGCATATATTGGTGATGGATGTTTTATGGCTATTCATCTGAAACAGACAGAGAGAAGGTACCTCAGAAGTTACTGCTTGCTTCTTTGAGGGCTTTGGAGAAGTCCATGAAAAGAGGATATGAAAACTAAATCATGGAAACAATAATATAATTTGGGGGGGTCAGGTGAAGACATAGTTATGTATCTGGACCAAAATCAAGAACATTTGTGGCACTGCTGGGTATTAAAATGTTGAACAGTTGTTTCTTTTACTTTTAATACCTAACATAATAAAGACTTCTGTGATTTAAGACAGCAGGGTTTTCAGAAAACAGTATACACTGGAATATGGGTTTATGTTAGATTTGATGGCAGCAAATATAAACACTTCACCTCATTGCATGGAAATTAGTATGCTCAGTACTTGTGCTGGATTCTCTGACTCTTAGTCTAGTTGATCACAATTAGCAGACATGTACTTTTCCTTTTTAAAAAGAAATAGACTGGTGCTGGTTGCTTTGGACTTAGTAAAGTACTAGAAGCTACGTAAGCTGCATTCAGTTTTGAAAAATTGGTTGTGATCAAATGCTCTTCTTCTGGAGCTTTGGATATTGGGCTGGTACGCTTTCTTGCAGGTTGTTGTTACTTTAGTATTTATGGATCACCATAAAAGGAAATTGGCAACTTAATGCACAGAGAAGGGATGATGGCCTAGTAGTTTTGGTGCTAGTACTTAAAGACTTAGATGATTCATTTCCTTGCTCAAGTACAGGTTTGCTGTATGATGTGAGAAGTCATTTTATCTCTTTGCCTTGATTCCTCATTTGCAAAATGTGGGGAGGCATGTTTGTATCTTTTGTATTAGGGGTGTTGTAATGGGGACTGTATAAGTAACTAATACAAAAGTATTCCTTCCAACATTCTGGAAGGATGTGCGTTTGTATATCCATGTTCCCTAAAAATGACCGGTTGGATTTGTCAGCCTTCCAGAGAAATGCAGTTAGGTCTAATTTGCCTCCTAACTTTTTGTTTAACAAACAAAAATGTATAAAAATATTTCCATCAGAATGTTAATTTGCTCTTAAGAAAAGAAATTGAAGAAAGACTTGCTTGCAGTCCTTTGATCTTATGACCTAATTACTGTAAGAGAATGTAAATATGAGAAAACCCCACTAGTATATCATTTGAACTAAGTACAGAGTACACAGTGTGACTGACTAGATTTGTAAAATGATACTAGTTTTAATAGCATACATTTCCCTAAACCAGGACTAACAAAACAAATAAGGATTTTTCTAATGCAAGTGTCTCTTTATAAAAAGATGCCATTTGGGATTTTTTGTTAAAGGAGAAATGGCTAAACTGAGTTCTGGTATCTCTTAGTATGTGGATGTGATATTGCACCTGTAAATTAAGGTCATCTACCAGAGGGAGCATATTGTTTGATCCCTTAGGAACTGTATACAGCAGTGTTGACAGCAGACATGGGTTTGAGGTCTTTGATCTTAACACAACTTTTGTGTATGGTACTAGCAATAAGAAAATGCCAAAAATTGCTCGCTTGCTGTCTATAGTATCAGGTTTGGCCTTGCTTTCTTGCTCTATTTTTAAGGGGTATTCTTCTTATTGCCAGCAGTTTTCACCAAAGTTAGCTGATTTAAAAGGAGTACTGATATGTCAGCACTCTGTGCTGAAACAATATTTTATGTGAGACTTTATAAATATGCTGTTACATCCTTTCTGGGTCCCCAGTTACTATGTAAACTTTGAATGTGATCTCCTGACTTGTTGGGTGAACTGCTTAATGGAATTATTACTTCATAATTCCAAGGTACTTGTCTGCTTTGTTTTAGTCTCTGGCCCTGTTAAATTAACTCACACTGTGTAGTAAACTACAGAATATGTCTCACTTGCAGTGATAGCCTACTTTGCATTCCAGTGCAATGACTTCAGTCAAGGGTGAGAAGTCTGCCTAAAATTTCACACTGTATAGCGTTGTTATTTGGTGTTTATTTCAAGTGTCATTTGACTTGAGGAAAACTAAAAAGAACAGGGATCGAAAGCAGTTGTCTGTGGTGTAAGGGTTCCTTGATTTAATTCAGTAGTCTGGATGAAAAACTGCTGTACTCCCAATCCTGCAGCACCATGTGTTCTACAATTTAAAATGCTAAAATGTTGACATGCTGTTTACGGTGTTGTTTATAGTTCTAATAAACTCTAGAAAGCATCATTTGCCCTAGACAAATATTTTTTCTGCTGTATTATTCAAAACATGTCCTTAGTATTTGTCAAATATTTGACCGGCTGTAGAACTAATTGAATGGTGCAAAAAGTTTTTGAATACATTATTTATGCAACACTAGTGAGGTTTGTCAAATAACATTTGACAATCCCTGTTTACATCTCTCTTGACTACTTTTTTTTCCAACTTGGCTTTATATTCCACTTTTTTTTTTCCAGAAATAGATCATGATCTATACTGTCTCGAATGTTCAGTGTTTCCTTTCTTCATTTTCTTCCTTATACTGTATGCTGTCCGCTTCCCTACACAGTTTCTTCTGCATTCTTACCCCTCCAGCATTTAGAGGGAGAAGAAAGAAAATACATACTCTTCCAACTTGAGCCATTTACTTTTTCCTTTTACATGTCCACCCTTAAATTGTACTTGGACTTCAGTTTGGTTTAGATACTTTGCTAGGTGTCTACCTAGAGAGCTAGGTCTGCTCATCAAGTATGACTAGGAAAGATATTGGGGTTTCTCTGAGAGCAGTACCGACGTGAGACTGGAATGCAGAAAGTACTGAGATTTCTACCAAGGTGATGTACAAGCAGTATATTCTGTTCTCCAGCCTTGTCTTCTTTTGTGGTGGTCTGCACAAAGA